AGGAAGACAACTGGAACAGAGATGGAAGAGCACCTGAATATGGAAAAGGCTTCACACACCGACTTGCTCATGCAAAAGGAAACGGGATTTTCTTTGCAATTATCTACACAAAGGCCAGGTCGGGCATCACTCTTCCAACACCGCCCTCCATCCCACCACAACATGGCTTCTGCTAATGAGGATCTTCACGGGTGGAGAGAAACCGAAGAGGGGGTTTAAGCAGATAGAAGTAGAACCGACTAAAAATACACAGTAGGGGTCGTAAACTATCGATTTGATCCTCCTGTTACAACCAACTATTTTCCTCTGACTCGAAGCAGCTTTTGACGTTTGGCCTGCAGCGGAGGTAATCGCCGCAGGCCGAGACAAAGACAAACGTCAATAGCTCCGGGGACATCGCTCCGAGTCCGTCTCAGACCTTCTGCAGATAACTCCCATCACGCGTTAATGCGGAGGGAGACCAGGCTGGGCAGTTCGCAGAGGCTGATATGCAACTCGTACACAGATGGAGACATTGTAAGGGTGTAGACAGGCAAGGTTATTGGGGAGAAATCAACTCAGTCAGCTGGAAACGAGCCACGCATGAACTATGAAAGCGACAAGGCGCCAAGGTGGATTCTTTTTCAGTATCTCATCAGCCGATCCTGTGGGCTCAGCAGCTGCAGAGGACGGAGGCGCTTCGGCTGCTGATTCGTCACACTCGGGGGAAATCAGAACCTCCCTCCATCAGGCGCCGCCAACCACCGACCGTTTAGCTCGCCCAGCGCCGACGCAAAACTCCCCAGAGAGGGGTTTCTAGAGCCCAACTTCTTATGACGGTCAGGTGCAACTCGACCAGGCATCCATATGAATACAACCGTCTAGCGCGGCTGTACGGACTCCAAACAAACACGTGGCGTGCAAGAGTGCTATCCAAATCAATTTAGTTTGATACCTGCATATATTTATCCTTCTTTATCTTCAACTGTATCTGGAATTTGATTAACGTTTAAAGAAATATTTAAAAAAGTTGAAAAAACTGACTACAACTATATTTTTGGAATTCTGGTGTAGACAGCAGATATCGATGCAAATCATCTTTTTTTCTAGGCGTTGCTCATCTTTTACAGTGCGCTTACTAATTTCCAACACGAGGCTGGATTGTGAGTTGCGACCTGTGTGTGTGTGTGTGTGTGTGTGTGTGTGTGTGTGTGTGTGTGTGTGTGTGTGTGTGTGTGTGAGAGAGAGAGTATGCGTGAGCATGTCCATGTATAATTGCTGTGGTCAGAGGGGGAATATTTCTGTCTGCTAATTAAGTTTAATTATATTTAACATTATCGACTGAGGGCCGTATTAAAGACTAATTAGAAATAACAGAGTCTGTGACAGAAGTAGAGATCACCCTCAACAGCCCTGAACACATGAAAGCAGAACCAAGCTCACCAAAAACTCCGTTTCCATATGCTTTCAAACCCTCCTTGCGTAGCAGCAAAGGGAATTTGGCAGACCATGACATCACAAAGATAATACACCTGCCAATGTGGCAACAGAAGAAAAAAAAAAGTCAAAAGGATTCATCTTTCCTGCTCACTCTGCACGCAAACACACACACACACACACACACACACACACACACACACACACATCAAAAACAATCCACATCAACATGACTCAGACCAATAACGTTACACAGCTAATCCCAACCAAGCGGGAACCGCGGCCAGAGAACACTACTGCCACAACAACACGCAGACTGAAATGAACTATTTCCAGACCGGCTTTCCTGGCGACATGAAAACTAATTTGTGCTGCGGATGGAAGGAGGAGAGACTATTAGCCACATAAAGCCGTGCGATTGTTAAGACTCTCCTTTGTGTGCAGTTACTCATTACAGCCTCGCAGCCTTTGGGCCGTTTCATGTGAAACGAGGTCACATGTTAACATACGATCCAACGCTGGATTATTGCACAGAATAAACACCTGAGAGAATCAAGGAATAATACATGTCTGTTGAACACAAAGGAGCTATTCAACCACCCGCAAAGCTGCGTTGGACTAGTTACACGATTTCAGGATTTCCAAACTTCAGGTCAATAGTTCACGAGTCTGAGAAACCGCTTTATTACAGAAGCAGGGGGCCAAACCGATAAACAGGCTGTTACATAGATTGTTCAATATTCTACAGTGGTTTACTTATCGTATTTGGGGAAAGGGGCATTCAATAAATCCCAACCAATCCTTTGAAAGGAAAATCATCTCGGGCACAAAAGTCGATGTCAGACAGTGAATCTGTCCACATTTAGGGCACTTTTTGAAAAATAATAATAACAACGTCCTAGACGGAAAAATCCTCTGACTGCTTTAACTGTTTGAGCTATTTGGGCCTCTGCGTTGCCTAAGAAACCATTTTTTTAAAAGGCCGACTGTGCAGACGCCGGAGCTTGAGTGTATTTATGTCATCTCCAGACAGACAACAAAGAGGATGAGTACGGGAGAGAGAAGAGGTCGGCTCCCGCCCCGACAGGCTGACATCCTCTGCCACCTCGTCTCCTAATCCCCCCCGTCCCCCGGCGGGACTCCTGCCGCCTGTACCTGCCTGCCTGTCACATTCACTGGAGCCAAAACACACTTCAGTTGACAAAGAAATAGAAAGAAAGAAGCTTTTGGATGCGAGAGGCATGTTAAACAGAACTGTACCGATTCGAAGTTCGTACCCTTATGGTTGAATGGACTTATTGTTTTGCTAACTAATTAAAACTGCTGATAGCAGCTTCTGATAAAGGGCTGCGTTCTTCAGCCAGGAATAACTGGGCACAAAGAAAGAGAGAAAACAATGGAGGCAATCGACCTACAAACTCTGAAAGATTAGACATGTCCAAAGACCACTCTACAGGAAGGATGCACTTGCCATAGCTGCAACTGAAACTGGCCTGTCCATACGAGAACTCGCCAGACACACGTTGTCAAGTGGATCCTTCAGTAACACCAAGAGCAAATCACCCGGCAGGGTCACCCGAAGCTGGAGCTCTAGCCATTTTCTCACCACTCACACAGAGTGGACGGCCATTTTCTCCCGTTTCCAAGTCTGACCTCCCTCGGCGGTGCTTGCACTCGGTAAGTAGGCTCACGTCTGCGCTCGCCCGAGTCTCCCGTCGCTCCATAACGAGCCTCTCCAGTATATGTGTATGGCCACTGAGACGACCGAGGCCAGAGGTGGAGCTGCTTGCTCTCTCTAATTGGCAGACTCACACTCTCACGCTTTTAGCAGCAGAGCAACCAACATGCACCGAAGCTACTTGCAAGATTTCATTTTGGAGCACAAAACTAAAAAGAATTCAAAAGAATTTGAACTAGTCAAGGCTCAGGAATAAAGACGTCACGATGAACTTGTTGAGATGCGTTGTGGTTTATGTACGCGTGCGGCCTAAAACATTTCAACTTTTTCATAAAACACTGACAGCGAGGATGGTAGACTTTCAAACCTAAATTGACATGATTTACTACACCTGAGGTCATTGAAGTCCGTGGTCCTATTCACAGCGGACATTTTGACTTAATGTAGATGAAGTACTAATAATAATAATATCGAGAATTGTTCTGCTTGAAGCGTCTCAGTAGTAAACAGTTTGACAGTCCTCATTCAATTTAGACCTGTGCTTTTCCTAGTATGACAAATAAGTGAAATTATTAATCGATGTGAAATTAGTAAATATGTAACAATTCCGCCCTGACCGGTAAAGTATTCTACCAGGAAGATATCAGTCAAGCTTATTTGAAAATAGAAGCCAATGAATGATTTATGTCTAACCTTAAAGAAAACAAAGAAATCTCAATTCAAGCCCACATTTAAACTTTACTGCAAAGGTCGCCCTGGTCAAGGCTTTAAGCTGTGTGCATGACTTTATTTACATATTTATTACAGTTCAGTATTCATGAGACTGTAATATCAGTTAAGTGTTTCTATGTTTTCTAATATTCAGCATGGGAGAAAATTAAAATGTCGCATTTAAACTGCCAGCCGAGGCTTATAAACTATCCCATGAATCCGTCAACGGGGTAATTTACAAGTCTGCAGGGCTGACTTCATTCAGGGAAGAAAAACAACGTGCGAAAGACTCACAATGAGCCATCTAGTGCAACACTCTGCTGTACACAGGCGTTCGTATGCCTATTCATGTACACTAAAGGTTTTACATTTCATGGGAAAGCTGCTGAATGTTCCAAAAAACCCTAAAAAAAAAACATACACACGGCTCTGGTTCTAAAAATGGGGCAAACAAACAAAGTCGCTTGGAGCCACGTGACAGTTTCCAGCCATTCAGAGAGAGGCCGTGGATGGTGTTTACAGTATTTTGTAAAATTCTTAGCAATTGTAGTTTTGCCCGAGTGAAATATTAAGGGAAAAACTTAGGGGCATACATAATTATGAATAAATTACAAGACAGCAGGGAGTAAAAACAGTGAATGCACAAATCCAAACAAGCATCTGCATGTGAGGTGGCAAAGCAGATTCAGCTGCGACCTCACATCCAATAATACGTTTGCTTTTAAACCATTTAACAAATCGTAACAATGCAATAATCCGTGCGACTGCTTTCTGGTTTGTGAGGGAACTATTCTCCTCAGAGCACAGCCAAGATGTTTAGTGCTCTGAGTAAAGCAGCCTGATCACTTGAGAAATCCAGGCAAAGACATCAAATCTCCAGAAAGGAAATAGCTGACGCTGGAGAATGGAAGCGGGTCAAAGGAGCATATTTGTGTAAATCGAAGGGTACAACCACACTTAAAACGCATCAGTAGACATATTTGGAATTGTGTTGCTCCACTCAAACGTCTCCCTTTAGTTCTGGTGAAACTACACAAAGAAGACACGCTGATCTCACCACACATTTGATGGCCCGAACAAAAAATGTTCTCCCCTCCTTATCAGATCCACTCCAATCAGCCTGTAGCCTCTTTGTCGCCTTCGATGTGTAAGAACACCACGAGAGGCGTGCCGACAGGGGAGAAACCGCTCTCACCTCAGCCTCTCCTCTTCCTTCTTTCTCAGCTTCATGTCCCGCTGGACGACCTTCAAGACGTGCTCTGCCTCGTCGTCCGTCAGGCCCGACAGGTCCAGCTTCCGGCCCATCGTCCCTGGCCTTCGCCGCGCCGAGCTGCTGGTCCAAGAGGGGAGGACGAGGATGCTGCGGCTCTGGGGACCGAGGCTGAGACGACCCTGAGGGGAGAGCGAGGAATGGGGGAATGTCACCGTGGGTCTTCTTTTGTGGAACCAACACACTCCTTTCAGTGAGATTTTATTTTTTGCACACAGCACACAAAGCAGACAGGTGTAACAACGGCGTGTGTGTGTGTCGACAAACACAAAGAGGGCTTTCACGAGATAACAGAGGTTGGGTTTTTTTTGTGCATTCCTTGGCTGCAGGGTGCTGCCTGGTGTGTGGTACAGTTTGTGTGCTTTAGGTAAACATGCTGCACTTACACTAAAAACTCAATGACGAGTGTGTTTACGCAGCACATTTTGCGAAATGATCTTAGACTTGTGGCACCGCTCAAGTAAGGTTTTAAAGTTAGGGACCCGAGGGGAGTTAATCACTGCGCTACACTGAAAACCAGATCGACGTTTGTTATTTGTGAGCTCGGGGTGAAGTGAAGGGGCGAAGGGAGGGTGACGGAGAGGCCGGCCCATAAAACGGAGGCAGGAGGAGAGAGAGAGGAGCAGAGAGACGCATGCGGAGATGGAAAGAAAGGAGGAGGTCCATTAACTGCAGCGTCTAAACGTAGGAGGCAATGATGACTCAGAAGGCCAGACAATTATGTACGTTCTATAATTGGGCTTCATCGACAGAGTGTGTCGCCTCATGCACAGCGTGTCACTCATTCCTCCAGTTCGCCTCCAGCGGACTGTCAAAGAAATACATTTCAAAAGGAGAAAGTGAAATTGATGTGATGATCCTGCTCACGTGGGCTGAAGTGGTCTCGTTTCATCGCTCACTGATTAGGAACTTGTTGCTGCCAGACCTTCGAGTAAAATAAACCTCTTCGGAAATAAAATTGAGGTGTCTGCATTTTGATTAAAAAAGCTTTAGGTATATCAAAGGGAATATTGTTTTTTAATATTTAAAATAAAATACATGAATGAATCAAATGCTTTTATCTGTCATCAAGGAGTTTAAGGCAGCACAAACACAAACAAGAGTGAGAAAGGGCTTTTGTTACATTCTCAACTGTAGTGGGAAACAGCTGCAAAAATCCCTCAGTGTCACACAAATGGTGGTCATTCACAAAGTGCCATTCACAAACACTCATTAAGCTGCCTTAATAAGTGATGTCCATCTCACCCCGGGAAAACCCAGGCAGTGGGACATAATCAGATTCACACTACAAAATGTGACAACGTGTAGGCTCATGTGTCAATACGAACAAGACAAATATCATCAAATCACATCCATCAACGCTCCCGTTTGGGTTTGTTGCTGATGTAAACACACACGTTTGAAATGGCACAGATGAGAAATTTAAAACATTTAAAACAAGTCCACTTGTTTGTTGTCAAATCTATCTGGAACCCACCACAATATGTCAGTTAAACGAAGAGTACAATTTCAGAAAAATACAGAAACATCATCAGATTAGTTCAATGTAGAGCTTCACCTCTTGCAAAGAACTCACTCCCACAACTCCTCGGCCGTTTACCAGTTCGATCCAGAAATTCAAACTAACAGGTGGAAAATCAACCGAGCGGCTCTGTATCAAACAGGAACACCATCAGCGACAGGATGGTGTAACATATCTGACTGTCAAGATGTGGTTTTATTTCCTGTCTTATTTTGTAGTTTTCTGCTTCTTGTCTCCCTGGGTAACTTCACTTCCTGTCTTGTTTCCACCTGTGTCCAATCACCTGCACCTCCCTTGTGTATTTAAGCAGTGTGTCTCTTGTGTCACTTGTCGTGTCATTGTCTATCGTTGTGGATGTACCGAGTTCCTGCCTGCCTGTTTCCTCCCTGGTACTTGTATGCGTTTTTTCCCCTTGGCCATTTGTTTGTTGCTTTTCGACTATTAAAGTCTTCTTTTGTTACTTGACGTCTGCGTTTGAGTCATGCCTCCCCACGCATCCCTGACACTGACTCCAGTTACCGGTTCTGACCTATTGGGGAGATTAATGCACCATTACTGTAAGACCATTATTCTGTAGCCACAGGGGAAGGTAATTATTCAGGCCTTCTTTTTATAGAGTGGTGTCAAGGACGGGGATGGAGCATCAGTTATGTTTGAGTGTCTGCCCATCAAGCTTCAGTGACGCACACACCGTATACACAATTAATCCATTTTCACTTGCGACAACTTGCAAGCCAGACGGGCACAATCTCACACATCACATCAATGCTTCTCCTACTGAGAGAAGCGTCCCCACTCCGCGGCAGTGAGCTACCCGTCCGTCCGACAGTGGAAAAGAGAGTGGGCTGTTCCAACAGAGGAAGCCTCCTCAGGTGACAGCAATCGAAGAGGTTTGTGGGCCACGGAAGTTCAGACTGACACCCAAGAAGGGTCATGCTGATGAATCTCTACACAGAAACGAAGAGGACAGTTCATTTAGTCCAAAAGGACACGCCGCGTGCATCAAATCGACCACTGATACTAGATCATTTGAATTGCACTCTAACGTGTATCAAAACGCTGCACCGTGCTGCAGAGCACTCGGCTCCGCTGGCGTCTGGTCACCAGAGGATGGGCGAGCTGAGGACGAGGCCCTGTCGGACCACTAAAAGGGCAGGTGCAGCCGAGAGCTAAATTAACTGCTTGTTTTTTAGACACTCTCCATTGAATCAGCGTTTCGTCACAGCCAGAAGGAGGACGATAGAAAACGACTTCACCGAGAGGACTATTAAGACGGAAGGTGAACACAGGGGACCGATATTTACAGCTACTCAAAGTCTTATTCATTTAAGTGTGTAAAATGCATTCATGGGGAAATGTGTGCTGGAGATTGTCTGACACTGCGCTGAAATCTGGGAATAACTGTTACTCCTTTTTAAACCCAAGCTCAGTTTTTGTGTACCCTTTCTTTTTTTTTCTCTCTCTGGTCATTTGTCTTCCTAAATCCACCTGACAGCAGAAAATAAGGGGTTTTTGTAACCCGGGGATACGGCCAGTATCCGTCAGGATGACATCAAGAGGAGTCTCTGTAGGGAAAAGACAAGCAATGCGAATAGTGGGAAATGTCATTGTGGTCGTTGCCTCCGGTGCAAAGGGGGCCGGTCAGCACTTCTTACTTTAATGTTAATGTAATGTTAACATCAAAGGGAAGAGTAATTGGAAAAGCTTAATGCTTAAATGAAAAGTTGCATAATCTGCAGAAGATTGGCCCATGTTGTCTTTATAAAACAACCCCAGCATGAAACACAATGAATGGTACTGACAGGCATCGCTTCTTTTTTCATAAGTTGTAAACCACTGAGGCAAGCTGGAGACAAAACCGAGGGAAAAAGTTGAATCAGTGATCTATATGTCAAGCGTGGATGTTAAAACTTGGTTTATACAAACTTTAGAGATGCAGAAAGTAGATTAAACTACATAGAGAAGCTTTGAAAGGCAATTTGTATTATGTGGATTTTAAATACCGAAATCAAAATCACAAAACATATCAGTTGGCAGCAACTTTTTCATGGGAAAGCATCCGGTACTCGTCACAAATGATATAATGGTGTTGTTGATATTTTGGCAACGGGTCTTTTTTCACAGACATTTTGACGGGTTGAAAAAGCACATGTTTAAATGAATAAATCAGTAATGACTGAATTATTCTGTCTTCCTGGTATTCAAGCGCGCTGTCATATTGTAGATTATCAGTTACACACCAAACCACTTTGGGGGGTTTTCCCCGAGCCAACACGGTGCATATGAAGTCTGCCACATTAAATGAAACCAACTCGTGCCAACATTTGTTTTTACTTGATTAGTGCAGACACACTAAACACACTCCTCCTCTGGTGCACGCACGTCTGACGGTGAAAACATGGGGGAAGAGTCCTTGATCATTTGCCAGTGTTCGACATCTACCTGCTGTGTCGCATCCATCACTAGCTGGCCAATTACCACCCAATGCAGAGCAAGGGAGGACGCTGGCCGTGCTGAGAAGGCTGCAGCTGATGTGTGAAGACACACACACACTCTCACACACATCGTGACCCCGAAGCGTTAACAATCTAAACAGATACTAATCGAATCTTCCTCTGAGTCACTGTGCATGTGACAAAGTGATGAGAAGCTGCACAAACTCTGAGAATGGGTTGTAATTCTGAATGACGGGCTCTGAAAAGCAGGCTCATTCATCCCGGACGCGGGTGAATTCACTCCTGGCGTCTCCTGAAAGAGCTTCTTGAGACAACACAGTGTTATTGTCAACAAGTGGCAGCGTTGGGAACTAAACAAAACAACAGACTAAATAAACTGCGGCCGAGACAGAGTTCAACTATCTTGCACGCCCCCTCAGAGGTGCTGCCAAGGAAGGATTTTCAGCTTGCATTCCTTTGGGTTTTAAAGGCTCTCCTTCCCTGCAGCCACGGCTCGGGGGCAAAACATGGCACTCGTAACAGATCCTTCTAACCAAACATGTGTCCCCGTTGGAAAAGATGAGTCACACTTTGCACCTGCTGAATCGGCTTTTTAGTTTTCTTCTCTCTTAAGCAAACCTGTACCTGATCATGTGCACCTCGCACCTCGGGGCATCATTCGGTGGTGCCACGCTGCATGGTAACATCTGGCTGTTTATATATAGATAGATGTGTCTGCACAGTGAGTCGGGGCAGCTTGCAGCAAACGGCACTGAAAGGGTCGATTTTCCCAGAAACGTGCGTTTACGTATCCAGTGCCTCTAACAACACACATGCAAGCGATGAAGCAAGCATGCCACCGAGGCGCGTGTTTCGATCATCCCTTTCCTGCTCACTAAAACCAGGCTAACGTCCACCTGTATGGGCGTATATATATATATATATATATTCGCAGTGAGTTGATGTGGAGAATAACTTACACAGGATCAGCGGGTGCCGGGTGACCGCCAGCTACGGTCTCTCTCTTTCACGTTATCCCAGATAATGGCCAAAACAAAAATACGCGGAGGGATGCGCCCCTGCGAGTGTAAAC